CAGAAATTCATAAATTCAAAAATCCAGAAATTCAGAAACTCAGAAATTCAGAAATTCTGAAATTCAAAAATCCAGAAATTCAGAAATTCAGAAAATCAGAAATTCTGAAATTCAGAAATTCAGAAATTCAGAAATTCAGAAATTCTGAATATCAGAAATTCAGAAATTCAGAAATTCAGAAATTCAGAAATTCAGAAGTTCAGAAGTTCAGAAATTCCAAAAATTCCAAAAATTCAGAAATTCCAAAAATTCAGAAAATCAGAAATTTGGAAAATCAGAAATTCAGAAATTCAGAATTTCAAAATTTCAGAAATTCAGAAATTCAGAAGTTCAGAAGTTCAGAAATTCCAAAAATTCCAAAAATTCAGAAATTCCAAAAATTCAGAAAATCAGAAATTTGGAAAATCAGAAATTCAGAAATTCAGAATTTCAAAATTTCAGAAATTCAGAAATTCAGAATTTCAAAATTTCAGAAATTCAGAAATTCAGGATTTCAGAATTTCAGAATTTCTGGTTTTCCGAATTTTTGGAATTCAAAATTTCCAGATCCTCCACTTGTCCACCCTGGTCTACATCTTCCAGTCTTACGGTCAAATGATCACATCCGTTTTTGTCGTTGGATTCTGTCTTCTGGAGTTCTTATACCTGGTTAATGGGCTCTCCAGGGAGCAGGTAATCTGAAAGTTCCATTTTCAAAAAATCAATAAATTTCCAGATGACCTACCCGGGAAAATGGATTACTGTCGCCACCAAAAAATGGAATAACGACGCTTCTGAAGACGTTGAAACCGCCCGTGCCGTTCAATTTGAAAAAGATATTTCTGAGAATTCTGAAGAAGACGTTGCGATTCAGAATTCAAAAATTCAAAATTCAGAGGATTCTGAAGACGAGGACTACAAAACTGACGGACACCAAACTGACGCTGAATCGATTTTTGACTATTTTTCCGCTTCTGAAGGCGATTTGAGAATTTTGTGAATTGTCAAAAAAATTATTTATTGCTTGAATTGTGAATTTTGAATATTTTAAGTTGTGTTTTTTGTAAATGAAAATTTCATTGGTTATTTCGCAACCGGAAGTTTTGAAACGAGTCATTTCGCAACTAGCCGGACGTTTAAGGACCGACCGTTTTGAAAACAACTATTTTGTAGCCGGACAGTTTAGAACCTGTTATTTGTTTCATAACCGGACATTTCAAAACCGGACACTTCGCAACTGACCATTTCGCCACTGACCTGTTGCAACCGGAAGTCAAGACCGCGACCTGAAGCCGGCCGACGCGGCCTGACTGAGCCAGAGGTTGGTCGACGGCGGGCTCGCTAAGCCTAAGGACGACCGACCGCGGGGCTCGCTGAGCCTAACGACGGCCGACGCGACCCGACTAAGCCAGAGGTTGGCCGACCGCGGCCTCACCCTGAGACCGGTCGATCGCTGTACTTTAGACTGGTCGACAACAACTCGCTGTTCCTCTAGCCGGCCGACACGGCCTGACTGAGCCAGAGGTCGGCCGACCGCGCGCTCGCTATCTCTAAGGACGACCGACCGCGGGCTCCCATATGCCATATTCCATTACTTTTTCCAGATCACAAACCAATACACCAGATTCGTGTGCTCTCATGTCGAGTGCTCCGAGAAGCTGGCGACAGTTGTCAAGCTCAAAAATTATTTTAAAACTCATTAGTTAGAATTTATCGGGTTTTCATGTTTAAAGAAATTATTGATTGGGTTCAATAAAAATGTTATTTTTGAAAAAGTTGGTGAAAAGAAAAAAAATTGGCAAAACAGGTTTACCTAAGAGGAGATAGTCTTCAAAATTCGGAACATTTCCCAACAAAAATCACTTTTCTAGCCATTCTAAAAGCTAAGATATGGCCATTCGAAGTTTCGGAAGCTAGAGACGCGGACAGCAAGACAGTCTAGTTGTCTGCGTCTCTCGAAAGGTTTTACACACAACCAAACGCGTGCAAGAGACACAGACAGTTAGAGTGTCTCCGTCTCTAGTCTCCAATACTTCAAAAAGCCATACTGCACAGCAGGGATATTCTGCATGTTTCGTGGGCGGAGCTTAACAGAAAAAAATACGAGCTTTTTTTTTAAATACGTATTTCGCAATCATCGGGAAAACCTCATCGATTTGAAATTTGGCTATGTCTTGCGCAATTTCTCCTCACTCTTTCTCTTTCGTCCATCGGAGCTAGGCTGTTTTGATTTCTCATCTCCCTCCATCTGCCCTAGGCCTAAAATCTTCTAGTCCATTTTTATCCACTTTCCAATTTTCCCACCTAGGCCTTATAGGGTATCAAAATGTTTAGCATTTCCTGATCTCCTAGATTCTATAAGTATTTTCTGAAAAATTTAAAATTCCAACTAGTTATGCTCCTGGGAAACTTTCACAACATCCTCCCCCCTTTTGTACCATTCTCCTGTCGTTGGTCATTGGAAGAAACGAGAGAGTGTGATTTTAGGAGAGACGCAGAGAAAATTTGTCGTTCTAGTATTCGTTCTGCTGACATTATGATATATAAAGAACCATTTTCCTCGTCCTCTCTCTCTCTCTCTTTCTCTCTTATTCATTTCTTCAAGAAATCTCTTTCAGAAGACTTTCTACTCCAAAAAATGATCCAAGAAGATATCTCGAAGAAATACGCTGATCGGGAGGGTCTTTCGTAAGCTCAATTTTCATTTTTAGGGCAAAAAAGCTTTGTTTTCAGTCTCCAGGAGTTATTTAGGTTGGCGGGAAAGTCTTTGTCACTTTTTCAATAGTTTATTTCTCAAAGAAAAAATAACCGAATAATTAATTATATTGTCCATCATTATCAACAACATGTCTCCAACGTTCCCTCAATTTATGGATTCCATTGCGGTAGAATCCAGCCGGGCGTGAGGCAAAGTATTGTTTGAGTGCCGCTTCGACCGCTCCACGGGAATTGAAGCTTCTTCCTTCGAAGGCACGTGTCATATCGCCAAATAACCAATAGTCGGAAGGAGCAAGATCAGGAGAATACGGGGGGGGTGAGGGAGAACATTCCATCCATATCCCATCAGCTCCTGCTTCACTTGTTTCGAAACATGTGGGCGAGCGTTATCATGTTGATAGTACACTTTCTTGTCTTTCAGGGCCGAACGGTCGACTGCTTTCTTGAGGTTTCGTAGTTGAGTAGTGTAGAGGTCTCCAGTTATTGTTTTGCCCTCGGGCAGAAGTTCCCAGTAGATGGGGCCGTCCACTCCCCACCACACAGAGAGCATAACTTTTTTCGGATGAAGGTCGGGTTTTGGGACATCCTGTGGGCTCTCTCCTTCTCCAACCCACTGGTATTTCCTGTGGTGATTATCGTAGAAGACCCACTTCTCATCTCCGGTTATTAGCCGGTCCAGCCATCGATCGCCCGCGTGGAGAGTGAGAAGAGTAATCGAATCGTCGACTCGGCGGTCAAGGTTGGCTTGAGTCAGGTGATGAGGTATGAATCGACCAAAAAGTTTTCTCATTCCAAGAGACTTCAAACCTTCAAGGACTGTGCTATGGTGAACTCCGAATGTGACAGCTAGTTCACGGCTAGATTGAAATGGATCCGATTGCAATGCGTGCTTCAGCTTGTCCAAATCCAACTCACGGGGTCTCCCAGAGCGATCCTTTTCATCGAGCGAGAAGTCATCTTTTTCGAAACGATGGAACCAATTGCGAATAGTATTGTAGTGAGGGGCATGTGTGTTGTACACATTCTTCAAGAAAGTTTCCGAATCCTTCATCGTGGTGTGAGATAGGAAGAGGTAAATCAAAACATGTCTGATGTGAATAGCAGTGGGAACAAACATATCGTTTCAATTACAGATGAGGAGCAGGGAAGGAGATGGGGACTTGTTTATATGGAAGGTTCTTATCACCTTGTTATTCACTAGAGTCGATATCATACACAGCCTCCATATACGAGAACAGTGATTAAACAAACAGAGTGACAAAGACTTTCCCGCCAACCTAATACTACCGAAAGATGACGAGCAAACCGCGACAGGAGGAGATTTGGGTTCGGTGAGTTTTCATGAAATCAAAGCAATAAGAACGATTAGTAGAACAAAGCTTTTAAAATTTGGAACATTTACCAGCAAGAATCATTTTCCTAGCTATCCTATGGTCTAAGATGTGTCTATTTGAAGTTTAAAAAGCTAGACACGCCGACAGCGAGACGCTCTATTTCTCTGCGTCTCTCACGTTTCTATTCAAAGGATGCGAGAGACGCAGACAGTTAGAGTGTCTTGCTATCAGCCACCTAAACTTCAAATAGCCATATCTTAGCTCATAGGATGACTAGAAAGATTGTTTTTGTTGGGAAATGTTCCTAATTTTAACGGCTTCATTCTCTCGACAAAATATTTCTTACGAGAATTCATTATAGACTACCAAATATGCACTTTGTCCACTCCGTCAATCCTGTAACTCCGACTCATGAGCCAGCTCCCACGGAGCTCGAAACAGCGTATGTATTTTTTTCTGCAGAAATTGGCTACACCAAAATAACTAATTTTTAAAGCCATCTCTCTCATTTCTCGTGAGAGATATCAAAAAGCGGTCAACTGATAAAATGTTTATCATATAATCAAAAATATTTTATCAATTGGCAGATTTTTAATATTTTTTATAGGAACTGAGATAAGTTTGCCGACAGGTAATACTATATTTTATCTAATAGAAGTCCGTTAACTTTGAGCTCAATTATCTCGGTTCTTTTGAAAGATTTCAAAACGTTTTTAACTGATAAATTGTTTATCATGAAATCACCAATATTTTATCAGTTGACAGATTTTTTATATCTCTTATAGAAACCGAGATAATTGAGCTAAAACAAAAAGAAAATTGAGTACCAATTTTGTATTTTCAGAGTTCTTCCTCCTCCTCTACCAGCTACTTCCATGCCGTCCACTCCGGAAAGTTTTGACGCATTCGTAAATTTTTTCATCAATTATTAAAAAAACATATTTTTTCAAAAGCACGAAAATGCTCAAAATCAGCCGGGCTCATCGTCTCGCTACCATGTGCAGTATCCTCCATCTGTGCCACATCCAGTAAGTTTTGTACAAGATCAGGGAATCAGGGAAAAAGGTGATTTCAGAGTCGGCAAGGATTCTCCACAGCTCTCACCTCACACCCACAGGTAAGATTTTGGAGCATTTTTAGGGTCAAAATTAAATTCTACAGCTTCCACCACCTCAGCAACTGGTCAACAATTTCTTCGAGCCTTTCGCCATGGCTATGATTACGGTAATTAACAAATTAGCTAGGTTAATTTCAAGAAATTTTTTTCCAATTTCAGATGATGAACAAATGCTCCGAATCTAACCAGGAAACGCTCGATAGATTGATGAGGGATCAAAGAGAGCAGCGGGCGGAGGAGAGAGCCATCAGAGCGGAGGAGAGAGCTGAGGAGAGAGCTGAGGAGAGGGAGGCAAGGAGAAGGGAGCACGAGGACTTCATGAATATGCTCCTTATCAACAATGATAGGAATACTGGTCCGGTGGCTCAAGGATCTTCTCAAAGCTCAGCTCAGTTGGCGGCTATGGTTGGTGGAGCAGCCCAAGGATCTTCTCAAGGAGCATGTTTTGGTCCGGGATCTTCTCAAGTTCATCAAGGATCTACTCAAGGTCCAGCTCATTCGGCAGCCATGGTTGGTGGAGCAGCCCAAGGATCTACTCAAGGTTCAGTTCCGGTGGCAGCTATGGTTGGTGGCACGGCCCGAGGATCTTCATCTTTTGGTCCGGTGGCTCAAGGATCTTCTCAAGGCTCTTCCCGAAATCCAGGTCACGTGTTAGCCATGCGTGGAGGTCATGCTCCAGATCCAGGAGCATCGCTTGGAGCTCAAGGTCCAGCTCCTGGTCCATTTCGTGCCCCACATGGCGTTCCAGAAGCTCCTCAGGCTCCATATCATCATCCAGCTGTCCCTCGTCCAAGAAGAAGAAATAGACCAGCGTAAGTTTTCAGGAATTTTCGAAAAGAAAACAACTATTTTCAGTAGAACAATCTGGTCAAACCACTTCAAAGTTGGAAGTGCGGTGGAGGACAGTTTTGATGAGATGAGTAACTTTTTTTTTGTTGAACTATCTCGATTTCTATGAGAGATGTCAAAATTTTGTCAACTGATAAATTATTTATCATAATAGAGCCAATATTTTATTAGTTGACGATTCTTGATATCTCTTATAGGATCCGAGATAATTGAGCTAGAGCGTAGAAGGCGCAAGTAAACAGAGGTGACTGTCGCGCTACCATTTGACTCGGATCCATATTTCTAAACGTGCACTTTGAGCCCAATTATCTCCGTTCCTATAAGAGATATCAATAATTTGTCAACTGATAAAAAATTGGTGATATTTTGATTAATAGTTTATTAGTTGACAAACATTTGATATCTCTCATAGAAACCGAGATAATTAATCTCAAAGTGCACGTATAGGATGAGCTTCGATTAGTGTGCTAAAACTCCTAGATTACTGAACTTCTGGATTCTTTCAAAAAAAAATTTTTAAGGCACTCTGGGAGTACACACGGTTCAAATGTGCCAAGCAGCAGTGTCGATTCCTGGGCCAAACGAGAGAAGATATGAAGTACCACTGGATGAAAAACCATCTGAGACAGAGCTGGCAAGGGCAAGATGGTAGACAAGGAGAAGGACACGACCAATAATAATTGATTTTCAATTTCTGGTCTCTTTCTGCGTCTCTCTCTCTCTCTCTCTCTCTCTCTCTCTCTCTCTCTCTTTCTCCTTTTCTGTATTACTCTTGTCCGAAATCAATGCACGTTGCGGCCGAGAAACCAACGGTGGGCGGAGCTTAGCTCCCACAGAGAGAACCTTACTGTATTTTTCAAATTATTGCACGCGCCTTTAATACAGTACCTCAACATTTATCGAATTTTCGCCTTTTTCTCTCATTTTTTCGCTTGTTTCTGTCTAATTTTGCGTATCTCTTATAAATCTTTGATTTATTTTTCAAATAAAATAGAAAAAAAGAGCCAAATAGGGTACAAAATAAAAAAACGTCCGAGGTACGGTATTTAAAGGTGCATGCATCAATTTGTCTTTTCGCTGTGCGACCGACGATGCGATTTTGAGTAAATTTTCGGCCGCAACGTGCATTGATTTCGGACGAGAGTAATATTCCTCTGATCCAATTTTTAAAATACGAAAAAATCATTCTTATATAAATAAATGAAGTTGCGTCTCTTTCTCTGTGGATTTGTCCGCACGTTTTTGAAAATCTCGAAAATTGAATGTAATTTGACGTGACCTTTTAAAAAGAAAGAGGAGCGAAGCGACGATAAAACAAAAAATAGATCAAATCGCGCCGAAGGCGCACCAGCCAGCTGTTTGAAGCGCCGGAGGCGTGGCAAGCGGGCTGATTAGTATAAAATAAACATTTAAAGAGAAATAGACTGAAAACATATATTTTAAAAAAAAGAATTAAACAAGTACAATATTCCGAATGGATCCAATTGGAAAACTGCCCAACACGATTTGCCATTTTTGTTTTTTTTTCCCCGAAAGTTTCGAGTTTCCATTTCAAATAATTCTAAGTTTCTAAATTCCGAACTTCAAAAATTAAAAAAAAAAGAATTCAACAATTAGAAATCGCCGAGTATTGAAACTTGAAAAGCCCAGAAAATTTCCAAAAATTCAGCATTTAAAACTCGTCATCGCAAATTTGTATTGATAAAACCCTTTTAACTCTCAAGTGTTATCAATTTGACTGTACTCAAAGAGCTTCGCTTTTATCAGTAATTATCACTCTTATCACTGTTTTCTATTCTTATCAGTTCTTTAACCCTCTTATCAGTTATCGAATTTCGGGCTCGTTTACAGGGTTAACAACCCCAAAAGTAGATGACTGATAAAAAAATTAGTAAAAGAGTTAGTGAACTGATAAGAACGAATATCAGTGATAAGAGTGATAAGGACTGATAAAAGCGGGGTGCTCTTTGAGTACAGCTGTTTGATAAAAACTGAGTGATATTTAACAGTTTTTTTGATCCTATGTTAAGTGATAAAGGCTAACGGATAAAAATGCTAAATATAAACACAACTAGGCTCCGCCCACTTTGAGATTTTGGGTTTAAAGGCGCATGTTCCCTCCAGGTGAATCAAATTCAGGAAAAGTAGGTCATGGTTATACTCATTTTGAAGCTCTTGACAAAATACAAACAACAAACTTATTAGCTAGCTGATAAAAATGCTGATAAGCATTTTATAGAACTCAGAAATCAATTTTTTGGGTAGATCAAAACATTTTTTTTTTTGAAATTTTTTTTCGATCTCCGGCGGGAATTTTTATAATTTTTTCTTAAAAACAGATTCTTGTTTTTTTCTGATTTTTCTTCCATTTTTTTTTCTCCAATTTTCAGCCAAAAACTTAAAATTTTTCCAGAATTTTCTCTCAAAAATGGGACGAAAAAAGGCGGGAAAGCCGAAAAAGGAGAAATCAAAATCCACTGGAATTCCAGAAGTTGTCAGGCAGATGGAGAATTTGTATGTTCGAAACGTTGAAAAAGAAGAATTAACGAGAAAATTACCATCAAGAAGCATTAAAGCGATTCTTTATTTTATGGACACAAGTGCGAGGTGAGAAAGGGATTTTCAAAAACTTTTTTCAAAATTTCAGCGGATCTCAATTTTCTTATTTTCGGCCAAAACACTGAAAAAATAATTTACCGTGTTGTATTTTGTCAAGAGCTTCAAAATGAGAATAATCATGACCTACTTTTCTAGAATTTAGTGTTTCTGGGGGACCATGCGCCTTTAAACCGAAAATTTCAAAGTGGGCGGAGCCTAATCGTGTTTATACTCATTTTAAAGCTCACGACGAGCTGATTAAGAATATGTAACAATTGATTCGAAAAGTAGAGAATTTGAAGTGAGTTATGAGGAAATTTTCGAAAAGATGGAAAAAAAAATTACTTCCAAAATCTTCCAAAATTCAAAAATTCGCAATTTTGAAATTTTGTTTTTTCGGAATTTCCGAATTTTTGAATTTTTGGATATTTGGAATTCTCGAATTTCTCACTGAAATTTACTATTTTCAAATTTTAAATGTATTTTTCCAATTTTTCAGTTTTTTAAACATTTCCTCATAACTCATTTCAAATCTTATATTTTTGAAATTTAATAGCACATTCTTACTCAGCTTGTTGCAAGCTTCAAAATGAGTATAAACACGACTAGGCTCCGCTCACTTTGAGATTTTCGGTTTAAAGGCGCATGGTCCCTCCAGAAAAATCGAGTTAAAGAAAAGTAGGTCATGATTACACTTATTTTAAAGCTCACGCCAAGCTGAGAAAGAATATGCACCTAAATTATAAAAACAGAGAATTTGAAGTGAGTTATGAGGGAATTTCCGAAAATTCGGAATCCCCAAAAATTGAAATTTCTTGCAGAATCAAAGTCTCTCTTGCCAACCCACGCATTTACAAAGTCAACCAATGGGTTCCCCAACGCATTCAAATTCTCAAATTCCACTCGAGATCCGTGCGAATCGACGACGCCGAGTATGGCTATCAAGTGACGTCAGAATACCCGAAAACCAGTCAACGAACAGTATTATGTGGCTATAATACTGATGAATTTGGAAATGAACTCAATTGGAAACTTCCAGAAAATCAGGACCTTCAAGAAGGCGACATTTTGATTGAACGGCCTGATGGGGACCCCAAAAAAGGCGACTTTCCATTAAATCGAAGCAATACGCGGCCAATCAAACAGAAGTTCGAGCTCTGCATGAGAAATATCACAACTGGAATTATCAGAAGAAATGTAGTGCCAAAAATCAAGGTTCCTGATGGTCTGCGAAGAATTGCCAAAGATCTTTTTGAAGGTAAAGATTCAAAAATCCAGAATTTTTTTTTTCATTTTTTCGATGAGCCCTAATTTTCTTATTTTTGACCGAAACAATCCAAAATTAAGTTCGTTGTTTGTATTTTGTTGAGAGCTTCGAAATGAGTATAATCATGACCTACTTTTATTTAACTCGATTTTTCCCGAGGGACCATGCGCCTTTAAACCGAAAATCTCCAAATGGGCGGAGCCTAGTCGTGTTTATACTCATTTTGAAGCTCACAACAAGCTGAGTAAGAGTGTGCAATTGAATTTTGAAAATAAGGAATTTGAAGTGAGTTATGAGGAAAATTTTGAAAATATGAAAAAAAATAAACATCAAGTTTTTGGTAAAAGCAGAAGCTTGAAAAAAAAATTCTGAAAATCAGAGGTTTAGAAAATACAGGAATTCAAAAATTCGAAAACTGGAAAATTCGTAAAATCTTTGAAATTCCCAAATTTCTCAAAATATACGAAAACTTTTCGTTTTCCAAAAACGAATGATTTTTTTTTCAAATTTTCGAACATTCCATCATAACTCATTTCAACTTCTCTATTTTTGAAATGCACTCTTGTATTCTTACTCAGCTTGTTGCGAGCTTCAAAATGAGTATAAACACGACTAGGCTCCGCCCAGTTTGAGATTTTCGATTTAAAGGCGCACGGTCCCTCAAGAAAAATGAAATTCAAGAAATGTAGGTCATGATTATACTCATTTTGAAGCTCTCGGCGAAATAAAAATAACGATCTTATTATCGGGCGAAAAATAAAACGTTATCAGTTAGCTGTTATCATTTTAACATTTTTATCAGTGATTATCATTGGAAAATGGTCATCGCACATTTTTATTGAAAAAAAAACCTTTTATCACTGATTCGTTATCAATTAGAGTTACCGCAAAGAGCTTCGCTTTTATCAGTAATTATCACTCTTATCACTGTTCTCTATCCTTATCAGTTCCTTAACACTCTTATCAGTTATCAAATTTTGAGGTCGTTTGCAAGGTTAACAACCCCAAAAGCCGAGTTCTGATAATGTTGGTTCACTAATAAGAGTCAAAACCAGTGATAAGAGTGAAAAAGACTGATAAAAGTGGGGTGCACTTTGAGTACAGTCTAATTTAATGATTGAGTGATAAAAGTAATAGCTAATCGATAATAATGCTGAGTATGAACATGACTAGGCTCCGCCTCCTTTAAGATTTTTGGTTTAAAGGCGCAGGGT